GACTTCACGAAGGGTGGTCTTCAGAAATTGTTGAGCTGCTGATCAAGTATGGCGCCGATGTTGACAGCGTGCTACCGACAGAAGTACGGGAAGGGAATGCGGCGAATGTTGAATTACTCCTCCAGTACAATCCGAACATCACTGATGTTCGGATTGAACATCGATTCACGACACGAGAATTATGTGCTTGCGCTCTGGGGGGCCATACGAGGAGGGCATAAATCAATTGCCAGGCTACTCACCCGGCACGGAGCCGACGTCAATGGGAAGGTGGGGAAATTTGGAACCGCTCTGTGCACCGCTTCAGTGCAAGGTGACTATGCGCTCGCTTGGCTTCTTCTCGAGAACTGTGCCAAGGTGGACCTGGTGATAGAAGAACAGGGCTACACTGCCCTGTACGCGGCCGCTTCCCAGAACCACTACACGATTGTCAATCTCCTCATTCAACACGGTGCTGATGTGAATGCGGATACCAAATATTATGGGAATGCCTTATATGTCGCTTCATGGCACGGGCACTATGATGTCACCTGTCTTCTCATTGAGAAGGGAGCGGCAGCCAATGCGAGGACAGGACTACACCGCGCTTCACGCGGCGGCATCCCAAGGCCACATCAAGATAGTTGGTCTCCTCCTTGACCATGGCGCCGATATCAATGCTACAGTCAGAAGATCCGGACGCACCTTTGACGCCAACACATCCAAATTCGAGGGCTACGACGGGCTTGTCCGGCTGTTAGAAGTGGAGCAGTACACCGATATGGTTGATTGGTCCGGAGACGAAACTATCCATCGTGGTACCGCACGCTATGCAGCTATCTCAAATGGACATCATGAGACTGCACGTCTTCTCGCCCAACATCTTCCTGCCGGCAACGCTAAGACGCAGAATTCCGGGTTTCAGTCGTCTCTCAATCTTCATCGTGGTACCGCACTCTATGCAACTATCCCAAATGGACATGATGAGACTGCACGTCTTCTCGCCCAACATCTTCCTGCCAGCAAAGCCAAGACGCAGAATTCCGGGTTTCAGTCGTCCCTCAATCTCGGAATGGACGTAAAACCAGTGAGCGCTGGGCGTCAGTACACATTATTTGTAATGGGTTTAGAGTCTCGTGCCATTCCTATCCGTAAGTCTAGTCCAGCTGGATTCTTTAAACGTTGTTCACCTCCTTGTAGCTGTTACGGACGATATGACAATCAACGACATTTACGATCAGTTGAAGTCTCTTCATTTTGTTCCCACTGGGAACTCGGACTTGTACTTCACGTACCGCGGTCGACGTGTTACTTGGACTGATACAATGGAGTCATTAGGCCTCGGGCCTTTATCACATTTACATGTGAGGTGCAGATTTAGGTATGTATCATTTTTCGTTTCCACTGTATGTCGAGATTGAGATATATTTTCAGATCATCGGAAATCGAAATACCCTAATACTACTGACGGTTCAACTCGGGCCTACTTAGGTTCGTTCCCATAGACGAACCAACATACAATCGGCGTTGAGCCGAGTGCGAGCCAGGAATCTGCGTTCTGTTAGATGAACAAGATGTGGTATTTAGCTCATTACTTCAATATCATAACGATTGTTCCTCCCAGTCCCCAGCTGGATCCGCGCTCGCGGTGGGTGTGCGTCCCCGAAAAGCGATCTGTAAGCCCGGGATCCCGCGTGCATGCGTTGCGTTGGCACATCATCTATGCTCTGCCCGCAGGTGGGTGGTAGTGCCAACCGCGGACCGTGCCTGAAGATGGTGGGGGCGCGTAGAGAAGGCCAGGAAGGCGTGAAGACGGCCAGGGGCGATGGGAAACAGACAGCTGCCACAGTGGTGTGCGCCAGATGGGTGATGCACGACGGGCGGAGGCGTGGTACGGCGGAGTAGGATAGCCATAGCACCAAGGATGAAGAAAGCGCGGCGCGCGCGACCAAGAGGGAGGTACTGCTCGTAGTACTCCAGGTGCACGATCAAGACGGGGATCCAACAACGAACGGGATGGCGCCTTCGATGGCGATGGCGTCGAGCGCGTCTGGCTCCCAGTGTGCGCAGGAAGGGCGTCGGGCATGTGGGGGTGCTCCTGCATCGATGGTAGATCGGGGAGACGGAGGGGCGACGCATCGATGGTGACAGTGCGCGGGCAGAAGAAGAGCGCGGCGCCGGCGATAAAGAACAGCACCGCGAGCGCTACGCGCGCGGGTGGTGGTGCAGATGGTAGTTAGGGCTGCGCGAGAGGGGCAGGCGTCGAGGGAGAGAGTGGGGCTGCGCCGGAGATGGGTCATCGCTGACTCGGCTGAAGCTCGTCGTTGCGCCCGCAGGGTCAACGAGGGCGGCGCGCGGGTCGAGGAACGGCAGCGCCTGTTGCGTGTCGTATCTCGCCTGCACGGGGGCCTGGTGTTGAGGGTGCCGACGTGGTACGGCGTCGGGGACGATGTACCTCGCGTGTGGTGAGGTCGTAGGCGCGGAGCGCATCGAGCAGGCGGGGAGCGCAACACGTTTCAGTGTCGTGCTGCAGAAGGCCGGCGCGGGCAGCAGGCAGTGCTGGTAGTCACTGTGGATGACGTACACGACGCTCCGGCGAGGCGGGAAGGAGCGAGAGGCGTACGGATGGCTGAAGACGACGTCAGTATACGCCACGAGCGAGAACAGGAGAGTAGGGAGTGCGTGGAGAGAAGAAGGATGAGGAAAGGGAGGAGAAGGAGAAGGAAAGGGGGTGGAGGAGAAACGCACCCATATCCTGCTCGCAAGCTTCGAATTCGCAAATGCCGCGATGCAAAAGAGGCTCTGATACGATTGTGGTCTAGCCCGTTCGACTCAGGACGACCCTGAGTGGCAGATTGGGTGGGAGCACTTGTAGCCCAGGTTCCAAGTCGTACTTGCGGCGGGGTGGGGATTCGCGTCTGCGCAGAACAATAGCGGCTAAGGTGCCGGAAAACGGGGTCGTCGAGTTACGAGCGCGGAAGGTGACGATGTACAACCCGAAGCGGCGCTGCGCCAGGAGCCCCGACTTCGGACGCGGTCACGACTGGCGAGGATGAGGATACGGAAGTAGATGAGGTACGATAACGTACGCTGGACACGCATCTCCATCCCTCACCGGCTTTCCAAGCACGAAATCTGCAGGAGAGAATGCCAGAGAAGAGCTCGCGCGCGGTGTAGACGTTAGTCTGTACCTAGAAACACAAATTTTATCAATACAAGACAAAAATCCAGGGAACGCAGACGCACCTTGATCAAGCTCCAAAAGAGGCCCGTGGGCGATGGTATTGCACTGCGCGTCGCAGATCGTGCGACGATGGAGCTAAGTCGAAAGAAGAGGCTGGGTTAGGCGGTTCTAGGCCGAGAACCCGCACGTCGTATCGAGTATGGCGGCAGGGATCAATTGAGGCTGGGATGCGTCAATGGAAGACGCAGGCGACGGGCAGAGGCAGAGGCTGGGCGAAGGAGGGGGCCGGCTAGCGGATGCCGTGGTGGGCAAGCGAGGAGGTCCTTAGATTGGGCTTGACTGGCCGAAAACTGAGCGGTCCAGACGACGATGGACGAGTGGATTGCGAATGCGATTCGGATTGAGGGTGCACCGGTCGAGGCGTGGCGCGACGGGCATTGAAGCGGGGTCGGGCGGCGAGGATGGTGGAAGGCAGAGAGAGGCACCACGGCAGCGAAAAGCGGCGGCGCCACGAGCGACAAATAAACGCGGCCGGAGCGCGTCGCGTCGCGAGGGTAAGGCATCGAGCGAACCTAGCAGAAGTGTCGCAGATGTCGGGCGGACTCGGTCTTTCTTTTTGCAGAGGCATCGGCGTGTCTTCCACTATTCCTTTTTTTTACATTGGCATTGGCATTGTTTTGTATTCTTGCGTCGCACATCATCCACTTGTAGTATAGGCATCCAGAATTCAGATTCCATTCGACGAGCAGAAGAGAAGAGAATAGACGATTATTATAATATGAGCAGCTTTTTGTGGTGAAAGAAAATGAACGACGAGTGAAAGAAAGGCATTTTGGGCAAAGGGCGGCAAGAAGAGACGAAAGGGCGATGATTGTATCAGTGATTCCCGAAGCGTGTGAATTGATTGTGACTTTTTGTGAAAGCCAGATGGTGTGAGAACATATGGGAAATGGGATTACCGGGGAATGAAACCGGGATCAATACCGGGATCAGCACCGGGATCAGATTGATTTGATCGGCAATCACGGCATCATGCTCCTCACTTTCTACTCTCATGGCGCCGCTGGCCGTACTTTAGCTAATAAATCAGCACATCTGCAGAAGATCAAAGTGTTACATAGTCTGGGTTGCATTTGGTCTTGCACGCGTTGTAGGATGTGGAAGAATCTGTGACATGTCGCATCGAGCTCCTGATGTGACGTGACTGGACGCGTCGACGGGACTGGAACAAAGACCAAAAGAGCAAACAAGGTGCTTCATTCCAAGGATACGAATACAGGTAGTAATAAATCTAGGGCCCGGGGCTGAAGTACTAGTCCAATAAAATAGGACTACTCACTTTATCTTCGCAAGGGAAAGCCCCTTGTCCATGCCGTCCAAAACTCCACCGGGCGTTTTGCCCAGTCTCAATGCCTGTTCGCGAGCCAACTTGTGCAATCTTGCGGCCGCATGACGTGTGGGCGGAGCTAGAGGGAGAGCGAGCGTATGATATCTAAAAGTGTATATCATCAAAATTCACATAATGCCGATGCTGCCGCCGGTTTTGATCCCGGTCCATTCCCCGGTAATCCCATAACCCATACTTTCACGATGGTGTGACGTCATGTTCAGTTTGGTGGTTGAATTTTTTGAGTTGGACGTCGGGCGAGGGTTGGAGGAGTTCGGGAGGAAATGCGGAATATCTTTACCGTGCTGTTACACTCGGGTAACATTATCAAAAGGAAAAAAAGCACAATGACACTGGCTCAGCGGGGGGTTCAAACTTGAACTTGTGCGTCGCTCCTGCTGAGGCGTCGTTATTTGCGTATCTATCGACGCCATTGTAGGTATACAGGAGGTGGACGTGGTGCATGGTGCACTGTTGCTTTTAATTGAGGGGTCGCAAGCGATTACGCAGCTGAAGGGGTTCGACTCCCCGCGTTCGCATATTGAAGTAGGGGATGCTCCATTTTTTGGGGAGAGCAAATCTATACTTGAAGGGTTTCGACGACTGTGTTGGCGGGCGTGGTGAATGATTCAGCGTTGTCGAATAATATACGCTAAGCTCAAATCAGGGTGAATGTTTAACTGGGATAAAGCGGATGGAATTACTCTTTGTAAAGGCAGAGTGTAAACGTCTTTGTTCATTTTTTTCGGCTGAAGTTCGATTTGAACGCCGAACGAGAGTTCAGCTATCCCAAGAAGTACAGGAGTTGATGTTGCATCCCCTGAGCCGTACACTCATTTGCTCTTTTCTTTGAGCATTTATTGGCGCCGTTGAGAGCACAAAGGAAGTGAACATGGTACCGCTGCAAATATCGATGTAGCCTTCTGGCTTTGAAAATTGTGCAGCTAAAGGGGTTCGACTCCCCCGTCCGCATGCGGAGGACTTCGTACTCTTTTTTCTTCTTCTTTTTCATGTTCCGTGGAGTGTCTCGCGGGCTTGACTGTAAACTGCAATTTAAACGCAGTGTTGTACACCGCGCCCCTGCCTCGAATATGCCAATCGCAACCTCGCGGCGAATGTTGAAATTAGATGAGCCGCTAGAATGCCTGTTGTGAAGACGGAGATGTTCGATTTTTTTGGTTGAGCTTGGGAGTTCAACCTCCAGCGAGATTTGAACGACTCTCAGGTATGTACCTGGGTGGAATCTATTGATAATTGAGTGTTCTGAGGCGCGAGGTGGGGAAAGGAATTCAAAAAGCGCAAGGTCAGATATAGTTCGACTTGAAGTCGTAGCCCTGACTATGTGGGTACTTATCAACGCTATTGAAAGTATACAGGGAGCGGACGTGGTGCATGTTGAAGAGTTTGAAAGGTTATACCTGAAGGGGTTCGAAACCCCACGGCCGCATGATCGACGACGGTGACGACACCTTTTTTTTCTTGCGTGGAGTTTCTCGGTGGCGGTTGGGCGTAGATGAGATGGATAAGCGGAGTGCTGCACGTTGACCTACTGCATCGAACATATCAACCTCAAATTGGTAGCGAATGTTGAAATGGGATAAAACCCGTAGAATGGCTTTTGTGAAAGAGTTTATGTACAGTTAATAAGTGCTGTTTGTTTTTTTGGTTGAGGTTTGACTTCAACGTCGAGCAAGAGTACAACCATTTTGACTAGGAGAAATCAGTGCTCTACATCCACTTTTTTTCTTTTAGATTCTCATTCCTCATTTAATCATGATAATTGAACTACGGGGAAAACACGCTCGAGTCATCCATATACCAATGTAATCTCAGTGTCAGCCTGCCACGACATCCCAATTTTTGAAGCCCGTCGTGATAGTGTGGGCTGGCACTTTCTCCTGGAGCACTGGCATCTGGACACCGCGCTGAAGGAAGAGCAGGAGATTCCCTGCGCGGTCCCAAAGCTGAAACAGCAAGTGGCGGTACTACATACTGTACATGGGGGTCATATATATACTACGGATGTATATTTAGTACTGGTTCGAGAAAAGAGCCATAGGGTGAAACTGTCGGCACCAACACCTTTTCGAAAATGTCAGGAGCCCCAATTTTTGGGCCATCGGGAGGGATCCCCGTACATACGCATCGAAGAGCAATCCATAATCATTTTCGTCCTTATCGTGAGGCCGGACGGAACCCCTGATATGCATCTCGCGCAAATGCGGCAGTTGTTTCAGCGCTTCGTCCACTTTGCCATGGAGATAAGAGCAGAAGCTTTGCTCGATTAGCGCGCCTAGGACGACGGTAAGCTTCTCAATGTTCGGCATGCGCGTTGGAAGGTCGGTAATAGTTGCCCAAAGTGCGTAGGAGTCACTGCATTCAAGGAGCTCCTAGACTGAGACCTACACAGACCTACACAGACCTACACTCAGTCTGCCAAGGATTGCGTAGGTCCTGGCAAGGTGAGTGTGGACGGCTACACACACTCTGTGTAGCTGAGTCTAGGCATGTCTAGGCTCCTAGACACACCTAGACATGCCTAGACTCAGCTACACAGAGTGTGTGTAGCCACCTACACTCACCTTGCCAGGACCTACGCAATCCTTGGCAGACTGAGTGTAGGTCTGTGTAGGTCTGTGTAGGTCTCAGTCTAGGAGCCCCTTGAATGCAGTGAGTGTCGTACGCTATCGGAAGTGCGGAGAGTCAAGAACCGAACCCTGGGGAGATTCGGGAGAGCGATTGGATCGCAGTTGTGGCCGTCTACGTAAATGTGAGTAGGGCCCGGGACCATAAGAATCGGTCACAAACCAAGAAAATGAATGACCAAGGTCGTGAGGGAATTGCTGTACAGGTGTGTTAACTCGCGACCGCCGAGCGACTCCTGCTTCTGGACGAATAATTCCAGGTGCTCTATATCCGGCAAAGAATCTTTGCAACGTATAAGGGCACCCGGGACAGTGTCATGTTTTGCCGAGCAATCAATAATTAGGCGGTTGGGTGTTGTATGGGGTCGGAAGGTATCGGAATACGCGGCAAGGGAATTGTCATCGCGAAGGTCGACATTTATCAAGGCCACTTCTCTGAACGATGAAAGTGCACTGTGGATGAAGGAAGTAGGGACTTGACTGCAATTGAACAAGCCCAGGCATCGCAGATTGGGAAGCCTAAGGAGGGGAGGGAAGACGGTCTGAAAATAAGTACGGAATGGAGAATCCTGACCCGGATCTATCACCAGCCGCGTAACTCCGCCGAATAGCGGTAGGATGAGAACCAACATCGGATTTATCCCATGGGTGGCATTGATACGCAGATCCCGAACGTAAGCGGCCAAGTGAGGCTTTTGTGCAAAGCCCCTGATTGCGCCGGAGTTCAACCGTACCATGAAGGAGCGGAAAAGACAGCGCTGACTAGATGTCAGGAATGCGGGGGAAACCAGGGCGGACGCCTTGAGATTGCGACGGTCCGTATCCCGCCACCATGTACCTGAGCAATAGGGCTCGTGTTCGTCGTCGTTCGTAGAGACGTACTCGACAATCTTGTCAATGAGCTCTTGAGCCAAGTCAGCCATGATAAAGCGATGGACCGCCAAATCACGCAAGGGAGCGGCCGCCAGGAATATATACCTCGTCAGGAACGTATTATCCCCTGATTTACTCAGATCGTATGGATCACTGCCTGAAAATTTTGCCCGATCATGAGAGATCTCGGATTGGTCGAGATGATACAGGCCTTGAGGTCATCGATACCACGACTGCAATATTCTGTATCAACACCTGGCTCCGCATTTCGTCCCACTGTTGTCGAAGATCGGCTCTCCCTCCTTCGACGCAGAAATTGGATAAGAGAGGGAACTGTCGACGTAACGTGGCGGCAACGACGGTGACGTCGACGAGATCGCTGGGGGACTTTAGGGAAAGGTCACGGACGTGACGAACAGGAGGGCAAAATATAGGGGAGGCGAGATCCCAAAGAGCGACATGGATCGATGCAAGTTGCTTGCAGGCTTGAGCAAGAGCAGAGACGTGCGCCAATGACCGGTGTATAATAGGGAGTCGAGTCCTGCGATCCGTCAGGTCTAATTTGAGCGTCTCCAACTCGGTTAGAGGGGTTAGGACCGAGACGGAATCGAGGGGGATGTCGGCTTTGAACTGACCACTCAATGTGAGGGTTCGTAGCATAGTCAAACTCGAAATGGCGTGGAAATCAATCGCGTTCAAGGCGCAGTGACTAATCTCTAGAAGGACAAGCCTCGGCCACCGAGCAAGTGCTTGTATGGCACCATCTGTGCCGGATTTTAGTCGATCAAGAACCACACGACTCCACGAGACAATGTGGACGTGCTGATACTCTCCGAGAAGCGGAGGCAACTTGCCGGAAGGGCGAGGTCGGTTTAATAGGATAGTGACTGTGAGGGACGCCAAGCTCGGGAATAAACACCCAACGTCGCAGGTGTGTTTTTTGGTTGAGGTTTGCCTTCAACGTCGAGCAAGAGTTGAACCATTTTGAGAAGTACAGCGTGCAATCTCTTAAGCTTCTGTGCTTTATGATGTCTTTATGATGTGAGTCTTAGTTGAGACCAAGGTATAGAGGAAACAGACGTGGTCATGGTGCATTTATTGAAGCCGTTGAGGACACAAAGGAAGTGGACGTTGTGCATGACGCACCGCTGCAAATATTAATGTAGCCTTCTTTCTGGCTTTGGAAATTACGCAGCTGAAGGGGTTCGACTCCACGCGTCCGCATGATAGATCTCGAGCGCCGTTTTTTCTTTTCTTTTTTACACTGGTAGAATTTCTTGCAGCTGTGCCTGAGCGTAAATTAATGGTCTGAGCGGATGTGTTGGCAAGCGCAAAGGCTTAGTCGAATATGTCAAATTTATAGCTAATGTTGAATTGAAATAGGATAAAAGAGAGAATTACTATTGTGGAGGCGGATATGTTCGATTTTTCTGGTTGAAAATTGAGACAAATTGATTACAAGTCATTTAGTAAATTCTTCACGAACAAAATAGCACTCACACTAAAACACTTTCGGAAATGACAGGTAGTCGGCATGCCCTTCCAATGTTGTCAGGCATAATGTTCTTTCCTCTAGATCATGGATCTTAAGTTCATCAAAGCTTCTCAAAGGTTCGCAACGGCTTCGGGAAGGTGGTGTAACCCCTCATTTCGCGGCGATTTTTGTCGGAATAAAAATCTAATTGCCTCCGCACTTCTTTCCTCCGCACCTGTTCTATTCCTGTCAGAAGGGCAGAAAGCAAAAATTGTCACACCAGAAAATCTGGTTTAACTTCAAGTAAGTGATATCAACGTGAATGATTCTCGCTGGAGATCCCGCGCTCATGCCCATCGTGATCATTCGGCGGCGCAGGGAGCGTCCCACTTTCCTCCTTCCCGCACTCATAATAATATTTGTGCTAAGTGGCCTTGCTAAAATAATTTAAAAGAGAACATATACTGCAAGCAGGCCTCGCGCGGCGACGTCGAGGAGGCCTTAGACCATGCTTTTCGCCTGAGGACCCTGCGGATGGATGGTTCAT